GCACCTGCTATGGTACGTATACCATGAAAAGCTGAGTTGGAATGAAATGGTGCCCCGGTAGCGTAACTGGTAGCGCACTTGCCCGGAAAGCGAGAGGTGCGGGTTCTAGTCCCGCCTGGGGCGAAAGTTTTGTTCACAACCCAGCATTCTTGTTTAACTATAATATTATTTATTAAAAAAGTACGACAGTAGACTGCATAGCGCCCTATATAGCCTTCAGTGCCTTACAGCTGTTTTTACCTAATTGTCGCGATATGACTTATAATTGAACTGAAAATGTCCTTGAATAATCCGGCCTAAGGGTTGAGCTGTTAAATGAACTGTCCATTCGATAGCAGATAGTTTTCTGTTTCTATTGTTATCCCATCAGTCAGCTTCTCATTCTTTTTCGATTCTACAGTAATCTTACAAAGGCAAAACAAGAATGCATTGCTATGGTAGAGCGAGTCTTTATTTGTCTTTCTAATGGAGTCTTGCGGTGACGATCCGGTCCTCATCGACTCAGTGAAGCCACTTCCACTTACGGTACGGGTTGCGCGGCGCCTCAATAGCTTCATAAGAGTGGGGTGCCGGTGGCGATACCTGAAAAATACATCTCAGAACTGGTTATTCAGTGAATCCAGATGTCTATGTGAAAGTGGGCTCTAGCGAAGCCAATTACTGCCTGTCTTGAGGGATTCAGTGGTCATCGAAGAACTGGGTTGCCATGTTTTTGACACCTGATACCAGAAGAAGGGCTGCCTAGAAGGTACTCCCCTCTCCCTAGCAGTTCGCGTGAACATGTACTGTCTCACGGGCACCGTGGGATCGTCCGCCTACAACAAGCCCTCAGCCCCATTTGAGAACGTTGAGCTTTCCAGAGCTCTGATGATTCAGGTCGCCCTCCACCTCAGCGAAGGTCAGATTGCTATGGAAAGTTTTAGTAGTTAGAAGTCGATTCCTAATACAAAAATCCTCTATAGATCTTGTCACAACTATTTTATCCTTCAACTTCAACAACTACGAGTTCAATCAGGAAATCAGAACAGCTTATCATAAAAGCCTCACATGCACTGCTGCTGGAGGAGTATCGTAACCCACAGGTGGTGCTGGTGGAGCCACGGTTGTCTTTGGCTTGTCGGCATATCGGTTGACACCCAGACTACGTTCTGGGCATTTACAGTAGTTTGCATCCGGTCCAGGTTGTCCTGAAAGGAGTGGACTGTTACACTGTGTCAAGACCTTCGTATAGTTACTCACCAGGTGCTCCCATAATACCCTGCTGTCCAGGTTCTCCGGGCATTCCAGGTGATCCAGCCGGTCCTGCTGGTCCGACCTCGCCTTAAATAATGAATTGGGAGCTTTCACGATTTGCTGATGGTCTTCCGACCTCTTGGACTGCTACTTTGATAAGACCTGTGAAAATGTCTGTCAAATGGCCCCTACTTCTTACTCAATCTACATATGTGCAGCTGATCTCCTCTTTCTGCCTGTTTTCTGGCTGTATTTCTATCCATCAGCATCCAATGCTCTTCTCTTGACCCCCTCCTGCCTCTCTTGTACTCCTTCCTGTTAAGTTTTGTCTTTGTAAGCTAAATTCTCATTTTATGCCCGCTTCCGCAGCGTTTACTCACACTTATTCCGTGCACCGCAATGTCTTTCTGCCTATCCTCTCTTTGTTATACTGTGCTGTCCGTCTGTCCGTCGCATCTCCTTTGGCATGTAGCGTCTCTGTCTGTCCTCTCAGGTCGCTCGGCTTGATCTTCTGTCCTGTCTGTCTGCTCTCTATCTGCCTAAACTGCCTATCGGTCTATTCATGTTAGCAGGTCTCCACAGATCCAGCCGCCCTTTCTCTACCCATCCCTTAACATGCCTGATCATACTTTTCTCTTTACTCCTATTGCATATCATGGAGCCATTCCGCAGTAACGCATGTCCCAGCTGCTTATCTAAAAGTTTATCATTGATCCTTTGCCTGCTTTTCAGCACGTCTTTCGATCTGATTCTGTCTGTCTGATTTGTCTCTGTCTATGATCTGTTTTTCCTACAGTTTTCCTTCAAGTCTGACCATCTATCCAATCTCTTTTCTTCATGTGTACGTCAATCTGCATATCTTAACACCTTGACGACAGCGCGGCAACTAGGTTTGCCGCGTTTTGCACGCCGCAATGGACATTGTGGCAACTATAGTTGCCACACCCTTTACATTCAGTTTTTTCTTGAACGCGCCATTTCTTCCCAGGTTTTTTGTGTTCATTTTTTAGGCCATACCACAACATAACCAAGAACCACGCGGCTTATAGAATGACCAAATATTCTTTAGTTTGGCAGAGGTTTTTCGGACCGGACGAAAATATCCGTTCAGTTCATTCCTCATTTTCTCTTCATTAACACGAACATGTAGAAAAGAATATTAGAAGTGAGTACAAAGCTACTCGTGTGGCAAGATATGTGTTTTTACCGAAACAACCACGTCCAAAATAATTTTGAAATCACTAAAGCAAAAGTAAGTGAAACTTGCCTTTTCAATGCTGTAACACATCATTCGACCGCACTTTCACATGTGTACCTTCCAATAAGTTTGACACACCGAATATCAGTGAAAACATTTTGTCGCATCGAAGTATTGCGTATTTAAAGCTCAAAATCCACAGATTTGTTGTGAGGCGGCGGCGCTCGCAGAACCGCTCTGGTCCCACGCGGCCAAAAATGCCAAAACGCGCGATGTCGTCAACGTGTTAAGCCTATTTACTCTGCTACACTTGTAAGCCAGTGTCTTAGTGCATCACTAGTGTGACCGCCTACTGCTCTATGCGTGGATATTCAAGTGTATCAACTGTAGTGTTTCATTCTTCACTTACCATCGCTTCCACGTTGTCCGTCGCGTCCTGGATATCCAGCCGGCCCTTTCTGGCCTTGTGGTCCTGGTTCTCCCTTGTCTCCCATTGGTCCCTTGGCTCCACGAATACCTTCTCTACCGGGAGCTCCTGGTTCACCCACTTTTCCAGGCTTACCACTCTCGCCGGGAATACCAGGTTGGCCTGAAAATAAGTGAATGAGCTTACTGGAATGGATGACATGAAAGTCAAGCTTACCAGGATATCCTTCTCTGCCCGGCTCCCCAAGTCGTCCTGGAGATCCTGGAGAACCTTCCTCTCCTAGTGGTCCTGGCTCGCCAGGAGGTCCGGGTGGACCTCGAGCTCCATGTGGACAGACACGGCAGCCTTGTTGCTGAAAATGAAGTAATAACTCATGTAATAGAAGTTACAAAGCGCTTGATGCACTTGATCGAATGAATTCAGTGATTATCTCTCTACGGGAAACTTACCGAATCGATGGTGACGGGAGGGGCGATTCCGGCCAGCCCAGGTGCTCCTGGTTTTCCCGGAGATCCGGGTTCTCCATCCATGCCCTAAAACATGGCTTTCAGAAGCTTTCAACGCTGAATTTTTCCTGAAGTCTCGATAGGAAGTTATGTGTTTGCCGGTCCAAATGTTGGAATGGAAAACCAAAAGTTGACGATTTTCAGGGCAATAGTTAGATAGCTTACAGGTCTTCCAGGTTGTCCAGGTGGTCCCGGTGGGCACTGATTGTTTGCCTGGCAGTCTAAATGATGGAGGTTTCGATATTGAACTCATAAGTAGAGAAATATTTCCTACAAGAAGGTCACTTACTACAAGTGGGATTCGCTTCGACGAAAGCGTCCTTAGGTTTCATGTATGAGTTATGCAGCGCGTAGGTCTTCTTTGGTGTGCTGCCATAGGATGCTGAACTGTCGTATGTCTGAATAGAAATAGTTTCGTTCAGAAAGGGCTTTTGTAAAATTATGAAACATTTGATATGTTGCAGCAAGTATGAAAGCCCATTTATTATGGAAATACAGAAAGCTTTTATACGAAATTAATCGTTTCGTATGGTCGTTGAAAATGTTCTACATTATGAAACCAGAGTTGCTTTTCTTTTCGTCTCAACATTATTCCTATGTATATTTCCACAAAATTATTATGAATGTTAAAATTCCATTTTATTTTATAAATTTTTATTTAAAATTCTACTTTTACTGTACTTTGAACTTTTTCAAAATTTTATTCAGACTTTGAAAGTTTGTTTTATTTATAAAGTTAAAGCCCGTTCCTTGAGCCTGGATCGTACTTCAGAAAAAAAACAGATTCAAGGTGGTTCTCAGTTCCGAGAATCGTGCCACCACCAAGATCCTATCGCCGCAATCGAAAATTGCTTTCCTTTCTTGAGCTGTTTCAACTTGCGCATCTTCCCCAGAATTCCTCACCGTACATACGTGTAAGACAGGGATAAGCATTGTTTTGAGTTTCACACAGCAGTTTATCAGGACGGATTCGATTAGGCTCGCCTTTGTAGGTTATCCTTCCTTCCTATTCTTCTCCCTTAGCGTTAGTCCCGCGCAGTCGCAGGGTCCGCTGTCTTTGTCAGTCGTCGCCACTTTGCTCTGTCCAGGGCATCTTCTGCTGTGGCCATGACTTCACTTAGGTCCTTCTTGATCACGTCTCTCCACCTCTTCTTTGGGGCTCCTCGCGGTCGCTTGCCTTGCACTTCGAAGTCCATCGCTGTTCTTATCGGATGGTCCTGTGGCCTCCTTAGCACATGCCCATACCATCGCAGACGCTGTTCCCGTACTTCAGCTTCGTATAATGTATAAGTGACCTAACAACGATTCTAACTTCTAGGTCCGATGAATCTTTTCTAAATGACTCCCGATTGGAGTCTAACCGGCGACCTCCGAAAGTTTTGAAAATTCTACGTGCTTCCGCTCCCTTTCCTTCTCGATACCCAATATAACCGGTTGAACTTTGGCTCATATGGTCCTTCTCTTTGAAAATGTTGGCATTTGATAGCACGTATTTGGCCTACAAAATGGCTTGCTGGGTAAGCGCATACTAGCAAGTATCTCATCGAATGAGTCTGGTGCCGAATAACGAACCAGGGGGGTTTTTTGTGGTTGGATTGGTGGTTTCAAGCAGAAAAAGATTCTCTGGATTTTGATAAATGAACCAAGATGTGGAGCAATGGTAAGGGAAATTCTTGCCATCTGCTGTTGAAGAGAATAGATCAAAGAGCTTCCTAAGCAAACCCTCTTCAGTGAAGCTGCGTCGTTCCTTTGATCAATGCTAACCATGTGTGTTAGTATATCAAACCATGTACTCCTTAGAGCTAGCATGGAACTGATTTTCTGGTGTTAGATTTAGCTTTAAACTAACAAATAACCAGTTCATCATTCGCGCTCCGGTTTACTGATGCGGGTTTGGCCACTCTGCATGACCTTGAAATCAGACCTGCGGGCAAATCTCGTTCAGCCATCTCTGGCATTGCTGCGATTTTCTCTTTCTAACAAAACCAATTTAGCAGATTCCCCTAAATCGAGCCTAGAAATTCTTTGCTCGATGAAACAAGTTTCCTTTGGTGTTTCAACGATATTCGAGCAAATCGAAATCGATTGTCCAGATGCTTAGTAATGGCCAAAACTTTCATCATCACAAGAAAGGAAATATTCCCTATTACAAAACTATTACAGAACAATAACTAGTTGAGATTTGGCTAGGGCTACTCTGCAGGGAAAAAGCTCAAGAACTTCATCCATTCAAAATTGGCGTGACCCACTGAGAGAAATACATTGCCTTGATTTATGAAATATTTCCATTTGTTAAAAAAGCACAAGTGTAGTCTGACATCTGCACGTAGTTAACCTGCTCCGTAGAAAGTTATATTTATATCATCCAAATAAATAAAGTTATAATTAATAATTTTTAAATAATAATGAAACTCGATAAAGTTTATTTTCAGTCGTGCTTATCAGACTTATGGGAAGTTTTTGGTATGATCTTTTGCACGGCTTCCCGTACTGCTCCTAATTTTTCTCATTTTTCAACCCTTTTCAAACCATTTCTATGTAAATAATCTAGTACGCGACGCATCCCGTCTGTCTGCGATTTCTTCTCTGAACACAAACAACACCGACGCTTATTCGAAAGTTCTGTTCCAGTCAGGTCAGCCATCACTCGAAACTCGTCCGAATCGATGCGCAGCTAAAAACAGAGCTATTACTATGCCATAATGCTTGTTATAAGGCTGAAGGATTTGTGCAGAAAACATATAACACATAGCCCTGAAAAGCCAGCCAACAAACCACTGCACTGGGATACACCTTTGTTGGTAAATAATTATGGATTGAATAAAGTCTGATTTCTTTTCAAACACCCAACTGAACGTCTGAAAATTGCAGGCAAAGAGGTTTGTTGCTGTGATTTTTTGGAAGGAGATGTGCCATATTTAACGAAATTGGCAACCCAACTTGAGCAGAACTAGCGGGGAAATTCTGTCAATACATCAAAATGGATATTTTATGAAATTTCGAGCAAATCAAAGATGTTGCGCTTTCGTCCTAGTGGCATGTATTTGAACTGCCCCCCCCCCTCCCGTGTAACCCCCTAATCCAGAGTAGAGTTTCGTGCTTGTCATTAGCCGAAATTTTCTCTACGCGGAAGTTAACTCCGTTTTTCGAGCCCTAATCACATCGCTCAGTTTCTATTCCTCTACTAATATATCCTGCCTTTATGTATTGCTTTCGAAAGAATAACTAGTGAAGCCAGTAATTACTTTAACTATGTATTATGTAAGCATTGTGAGGCCATGGGCTCCTTAATTTTATAATAATATGTGACTAATTACAGATGCATGGCGCATCCTGGGAAGAAGGCGTCAATGCAAGACGCCTTCCGAGGTTGAAGAAAGCAAGCCGTACCTGATCGTTGATGTTCTGAATTTTCATCACCAATGCAGGAACGTAGAACAGGCAGACAAAAAGTGCTCCAGTGGAGCATGCGCAAGCCAGAAGCCCGGCATTTCGGGCGGAGAACATCTGAAATAAGGGAATGGGGTATATGGCTCTGAGACAGACGTAAATATCGTAGGGAATTGACGATTTGGAAAAGTCATGAATCATTTTTGAGTGAGTTCAAAAAAGGTAGCCATTGAGGCGCGACAATCTCCCGAAGCGTAGCTGAGGTTAGTTGCATGACAAGTTCTCTCATTCCTGCCCTTGATACAAGGCGCATACAACTTCTTTGGCCTATTCTTCAGCGAAAGACAAAAGCTTCAGAGTAGTGATAAAAGCCTGCTTTTTCGTATCATTCCTTGACTCCTTTTTCTTGATACAAGACGCATGCCACTTTTTCGGATCTGAGGAGGAGAACTGCTTTGTAATAGAGGTGTAGGGCGTAAGTGGTGTGGAGGCAACAGGCACGCTTACCAAATGCGCGGTCCGAGATCGAATCTTCGGTCGTCCAGGCCAACCAAGCCTTCCATCCCTCCGGGGTCGGTTAATTGGTACCAGACTGCTCTGTGCTTTGAATCCCATGTTTGAACCCTCTTATTGTATACAGCAGTGCGCCGTGACACGCTTCCGTGAATGAAATTGTCCATGCTTTCATACAGGACGAGATTGAGCCCGCACGGCCCGGGAGTCAAATTCTTGAGAGCAAGACAGGCGTCACCGATCGTGCGTGTGCTTAGCGGCGCTACTTGATTGCCACCATATACTCCCTATACTTTACTTATTTTCCCTCAGCTCTCTTCACTAGTATCCACCAGCAAAAACGATGTTTGTACGACCCAAACACCCCCCTCCGATGCGAAGACAAGACCTCCCCTAAACTTTTCTCGATGCCGGGGGTTTAAAGAAAAATGCTGTACTTGGTTATTTATTCACTTGCTTGGTAAGTCGTTGGATGGTTCAAGTAGATTCAATAAGTCAACGTAGAAACTCTCACTGTTTGTGTGATTGTAGCTATGAAAGCGGGGAGACGATAAGCTCACATTCCATCTAGCGCTCAAAATCTAAGTAGAGGATAAAGTTCCCTCCGATAGGCTCTGATCTGATTTCGCTCCCCTTCACAGCAGGGAATTATGTTGCAGTGCCAATTTTGAATTGCTGGCTAGAATTGTTCGACTCTGCTTTTTTTCTTGTGTTTTGTTGTTACGACTGCTGGTTTTGGCACTCACTTCGCAATCGCTCGAATGTTTCAGCGAAGCCATAGCTGGCTTGTAAACAAAACTTTCGCTCCATTACGGGAACTGGAACCCGCCACCTCTATGGTTACGTATACCATGAAAAGCTGAGTTGGATGAAATGGTGCTCCGGTAGCGTAACTGGTAGCGCACTTGCCCGGAAAGCGAGAGGCGGGTTCGAATCCCGTCTGGGGCGAAAGTTTTGTTCACAACTCAGCATTCTTGTTTTTTAACTTAACTGGCTCCACATTATTTAATTGGAAAGTACGAATCAGTCACGACTGCAGTGTAGCCCCCCTAGTTTAGGCCTTTCAGTGGCCGTTACAGCGAACTGCTGGCTGTTTTTACACCTAATATTGTCCGCGAAAATATCTGACTTATAATTGAAGTGAAAATGTTTCTTCGTCATGATCCGCTTAGGCGGGTAAGCTGTTAAATGAACTATCCATTTCGGATAACAGCCACCTTCTCATTCTTTTTCGATTCTACATTAATCTTACAAAGGCAAAACAAGAATGCATTGCTATGGTAGAGCGAGTCTTTATTTGTCTTTCTAATGGAGTCTTGCGGTGACGATCCGGTCCTCATCGACTCAGTGAAGCCACTTCCACTTACGGTACGGGTTGCGCGGCGCCTCAATAGCTTCATAAGAGTGGGGTGCCGGTGGCGATACCTCTCATCTCAAGAACTGGTACTCAGTGAAGTCCAAATTCTGTGTTGATAAGTGTGCCTCTTAGCGCAAGCCAATTATGCCGTTTAAGGGATTGTCAGTGGTCCGAAAAGACCCTGGGTTGCCACCGCTCTACTGCAGGTGTGAAAGATCTCCAAATTATCATCTTGCTGGAATTCGCAGGTGCGGCACCATGGGATTCGTCTGCGTTCAATTAGCCCAACTCCTTAGCCCTCTTTGGGAACCTTTGAGCTCTTCTCGAACGCTCTGAATGGCTCAGGTCGGCCTCCAGCTAAGCGATAGTCAGTTTGCTAACGGAAAGGCTTGTTCATTCAGCAATTCTTAAATCTACCAAATCCTCTATGGAATCTTGCCACAGCCATTTTGTCCGCTCAACTTCAATAACAACGAGTTCCATCGGGAAATCAGAACAGCTTATCATAAAAGCCTCACATGTACTGCTGCTGGAGGAGTATCGTAACCCACAGGTGGTGCTGGTGGAGCCACGGTTGTCTTTGGCTTGTCGGCATATCGGTTGACACCCAGACTACGTTCTGGGCATTTACAGTAGTTTGCATCCGGTCCAGGTTGTCCTGAAAGGAGTGGACTGTTACACTGGGCGACTTGATCGTATCATTTGAACTCACCAGGTGCTCCCCCAATACGCTGCTGTCCAGGCTCTCCGGGCCTTCCGGTGATCCAGTCCGGTCCTTGGGAATTTGCTGGTCCGGAACCTCGCCGTTTGAATATTAACATCTGAATAACCTAACCTTGAATATATAAACTTTGAAATTATTTTCATAACTTGCTGGGGGGCGCTCCGATTTTCTCGAGATTTGCTACTTTCAGTACGGCTGCCTGTGGGAATGTCTTGTTAGATGGTCTTACCCTAACTTCTTAGTGCATCTGCATACTGTCTCTACATCATTTCCGCTGATCACCGCCTTCTTTTCCCTTTGCCTTGTCTCTTCTGGCGTATGTCCATTCAGTCTGTTGTTCTTCTCTTGACCCCTCCTCCCTCTCCGCTCTTCAGCGCTACTGTACCCTACTCTATTTGACTCTGCCTCTCTGCTAGCTCAATTTCATCCTTGGCATCCGCAACACTTTGCCATTCTCATGTCGCTTCGTCTGTTTGTCTGTCTGTCTGTCTGTCTGTCTGTCTGTCTGTCTGTCTGTCTGTCTGTCTGTCTGTCTGTCTGTCTGTCTGTCTGTCTGTCTGTCTGTCTGTCTGTCTGTCTGTCTGTCTGTCTGTCTGTCTGTCTGTCTGTCTGTCTGTCTGTCTGTCTGTCTGTCTGTCTGTCTGTCTGTCTGTCTGTCTGTCTGTCTGTCTGTCTGTCTGTCTGTCTGTCTGTCTGTCTGTCTGTCATAAGCGAATTGATGTCTGGTGCTGTTGTCCTTTCCTGCAGAGCGTCAGCGCTTCCCTCTAGGACCGGGGCTCCATATCACCCTACTCCTCCGGCACAACTTTCTCTCCCTCAGCTCTAATATTTCGCATGAATGCATTCATCTCCGGTCAGTTACACCATACATCTCACCTCTTTCCTCTTGCGCACTCTTTCTCTATCTTCTCTTTTCCAGGTGCTTATCTATCAATTTCATTTACATATTTCCTCGGTCTTTGTCTGCTTCAGATGTGTCTTACTTTCTTTCAATCTACCTATCTATCAAATCTCCTGTACCTCCTATCTATCTATCTTAACAGCGCGCCTCTCGTCGCGCTACACTTTAAGCCACTATCTTAGGCACCACATGTATACCCACCTAAGTGTCTCTATGCGTGGATAATTCACGTGTATTCAAATAGTTCTTCACTTACCATCGCTTCCACGTTGTCCATCGCGTCCTGGATATCCAGCCGGCCCTTTCTGGCCTTGTGGTCCTGGTTCTCCCTTGTCTCCCATTGGTCCCTTGGCTCCACGAATACCTTCTCTACCGGGAGCTCCTGGTTCACCCACTTTTCCAGGCTTACCACTCTCGCCGGGAATACCAGGTTGGCCTGAAAATAAGTGAATGAGCTTACTGGAATGGATGATATGAAAGTCAAGCTTACCAGGATATCCTTCTCTGCCCGGCTCCCCAAGTCGTCCTGGAGATCCTGGAGAACCTTCCTCTCCTAGTGGTCCTGGCTCGCCAGGAGGTCCGGGTGGACCTCGAGCTCCATGTGGACAGACGCGGCAGCCTTGTTGCTGAAAATGAAGAGGAATAACTCATGTACTAGAAGTCACAAACGGCTGTGATGCACTGATCACATGAATTCAGTATTATCTCTCGTACTCGGAGACCTTAAACAACCGATCGATGTGACGGGAGGGGCAATTCCAGCCAGTCCAGGTGCTCCTGTTTCCTCCACGGAGATCCGGAGGGTTCTCGCCTCCATGCGCTAAAACACGTTGCTTTCAAAAAGCTTCCATAGGTTGAATTTTCCTAAACCCTTGATGGATAAGTGCATGGTGTTTGCCGGTCCAATGTTGGACATGGAAAAACCAAAAGTTGACGGCATTTCACGCGGCATAACAGTTAGATAGCTTACAGTCTTCCAGGTTGTCCAGTGGGTTCTGTGGGCACTGATCTACTTGCCTGGCAGTCCCTACGAATGATGGGAGGTGGTTGTATCTAAGTAAGAGAAATATTTCCTACAAGAAGGTCACTTACTACAAGTTGGATTCGCTTCGACGAAAGCGTCCTTAGGTTTCATGTATGAGTTATGCAGCGCGTAGGTCTTCTTTGGGGTGCTGCTGCTGCTGCGTATGCTGAATAATGGTTTTTGTTGCAGGGGGGCTTTGTAAAATTATGAAACGTGGTTGCAGCACGTATGAAAGCCCATTTATTACAGAAAATCAGAAGGCTTATTATAAATAAAATTACTAGTTTCGTATGGTCGTTGAAAATGTTCTACATTATGAAACCAGAGTTGCTTTTCTTTTCGTCTCAACATTATTCCTATGTATATTTCCACAAAATTATTATGAATGTTAAAATTCCATTTTATTTTATAAATTTTTATTTAAAATTCTACTTTTACTGTACTTTGAACTTTTTCAAAATTTTATTCAGACTTTGAAAGTTTGTTTTATTTATAAAGTTAAAGCCCGTTCCTTGAGCCTGGATCGTACTTCAGAAAAAAAACAGATTCAAGGTGGTTCTCAGTTCCGAGAATCGTGCCACCACCAAGATCCTATCGCCGCAATCGAAAATTGCTTTCCTTTCTTGAGCTGTTTCAACTTGCGCATCTTCCCCAGAATTCCTCACCGTACATACGTGTAAGACAGGGATAAGCATTGTTTTGAGTTTCACACAGCAGTTTATCAGGACGGATTCGATTAGGCTCGCCTTTGTAGGTTATCCTTCCTTCCTATTCTTCTCCCTTAGCGTTAGTCCCGCGCAGTCGCAGGGTCCGCTGTCTTTGTCAGTCGTCGCCACTTTGCTCTGTCCAGGGCATCTTCTGCTGTGGCCATGACTTCACTTAGGTCCTTCTTGATCACGTCTCTCCACCTCTTCTTTGGGGCTCCTCGCGGTCGCTTGCCTTGCACTTCGAAGTCCATCGCTGTTCTTATCGGATGGTCCTGTGGCCTCCTTAGCACATGCCCATACCATCGCAGACGCTGTTCCCGTACTTCAGCTTCGTATAATGTATAAGTGACCTAACAACGATTCTAACTTCTAGGTCCGATGAATCTTTTCTAAATGACTCCCGATTGGAGTCTAACCGGCGACCTCCGAAAGTTTTGAAAATTCTACGTGCTTCCGCTCCCTTTCCTTCTCGATACCCAATATAACCGGTTGAACTTTGGCTCATATGGTCCTTCTCTTTGAAAATGTTGGCATTTGATAGCACGTATTTGGCCTACAAAATGGCTTGCTGGGTAAGCGCATACTAGCAAGTATCTCATCGAATGAGTCTGGTGCCGAATAACGAACCAGGGGGGTTTTTTGTGGTTGGATTGGTGGTTTCAAGCAGAAAAAGATTCTCTGGATTTTGATAAATGAACCAAGATGTGGAGCAATGGTAAGGGAAATTCTTGCCATCTGCTGTTGAAGAGAATAGATCAAAGAGCTTCCTAAGCAAACCCTCTTCAGTGAAGCTGCGTCGTTCCTTTGATCAATGCTAACCATGTGTGTTAGTATATCAAACCATGTACTCCTTAGAGCTAGCATGGAACTGATTTTCTGGTGTTAGATTTAGCTTTAAACTAACAAATAACCAGTTCATCATTCGCGCTCCGGTTTACTGATGCGGGTTTGGCCACTCTGCATGACCTTGAAATCAGACCTGCGGGCAAATCTCGTTCAGCCATCTCTGGCATTGCTGCGATTTTCTCTTTCTAACAAAACCAATTTAGCAGATTCCCCTAAATCGAGCCTAGAAATTCTTTGCTCGATGAAACAAGTTTCCTTTGGTGTTTCAACGATATTCGAGCAAATCGAAATCGATTGTCCAGATGCTTAGTAATGGCCAAAACTTTCATCATCACAAGAAAGGAAATATTCCCTATTACAAAACTATTACAGAACAATAACTAGTTGAGATTTGGCTAGGGCTACTCTGCAGGGAAAAAGCTCAAGAACTTCATCCATTCAAAATTGGCGTGACCCACTGAGAGAAATACATTGCCTTGATTTATGAAATATTTCCATTTGTTAAAAAAGCACAAGTGTAGTCTGACATCTGCACGTAGTTAACCTGCTCCGTAGAAAGTTATATTTATATCATCCAAATAAATAAAGTTATAATTAATAATTTTTAAATAATAATGAAACTCGATAAAGTTTATTTTCAGTCGTGCTTATCAGACTTATGGGAAGTTTTTGGTATGATCTTTTGCACGGCTTCCCGTACTGCTCCTAATTTTTCTCATTTTTCAACCCTTTTCAAACCATTTCTATGTAAATAATCTAGTACGCGACGCATCCCGTCTGTCTGCGATTTCTTCTCTGAACACAAACAACACCGACGCTTATTCGAAAGTTCTGTTCCAGTCAGGTCATACCATACACGATAATCGGTACCAGACTTGTCTGAGGAGGATAAAAAACACACTGACTTGTACATCGGCTGGCCCCCGCAAGTCATTGTATAGGCCACATCGCATTCAAACGCCACTACGAATGTACAAATGGAAGTAGAATGCGTGCCGCATCCCAAAAAGGGATTGATCAACGGCAAATGCTTTATCCTTTAATTATTGTAGTGAAATTAGTTCTGGTAGCGAACGCATTCCCCAAGTTGTACTTTCGTAAGGCGAGAAGGTGTTTTGAACGACCGGGTTGTACTCACTACCAACCTTCGTGCCAAATGGGCCATAAAAGTTCCAGAGAAGAACTGTGTAAGTGCCACTCTTCCCTTCGCTTTTCACATGCAGTGAAATATGTGGTGAATAAGAAGCGGTAAATCATGTTTCGTGTGAGTGGTCTGACCTTGAAATTCTCCCGCCGCTGAGAACTTGCCATTACGCCATGGAACATATGGTTTCCGCGGTGAAATTGGCGCTGGAAGCGAAGAGTAGCGCCCAGGCGTCATTTGTTAGCCTTAACGACTTTCGCGCGCTTCATCAAATAACCGGGCTCTAGGCGAGAAAGCAGTACCATGTACGCGATTTATGGACTTTGCGGGGAAATCATAGCCAAATGCAACCACGCACAATAGGCTTCGAATTCGAATGTTCTCGTTAGGAATCGAACTTTCTCTGATTATTGGGAATTCGCAGATTCTCAGAAAAAGGAGAGGAAGCATTTGAATGGTAAAGTAAACCTGCTAGTATATGAAGGTTTTACAATAAAATTCATATGTAGATCTAAGAACTCCACATGAAATCTCCATAGCGAGAGATTAGATGATTTCTGGGCCAAACAACTTATGGAACTTTCTTAAATTCTTCCAACTTCTTAAATAGCCACGAAATTCTAGAACAGTTCCGAAACATTCCGAAAATACTTCATGGCTCAGTGCCAGCGAAGCGGACAAATCCGCGTATTACACTTTCCACCACCTAGTATAGGCTATATCGCGGCTTGAAAACAGAATCATGGCGGTAGATGCTCTTCTTCTCTCTAAAAGTCAGGATAGCAGCGAATATGATTTATAGGAATCCCTACTGGTCAGCAGAAAGGCTGTCCTGTCCTCAGATGGTAGTGCCCTCTATCAATCTGTGCCCGGACGCGCCATTGAGAGCGGTGAACGTTTTGAGTAAAGAGACCCATCATGGACTTCCGAGGTCCAAAACAGTGTCTCGATTGTTGCAGACATTCCTTACACAAATCACCCTATCACTGAAGCGCAGCATCTACCTTTTTAAGGGCTCCACTTTGCAGGTCGTGCAAATGTGCTTTAAAGGCAAACCCCGGGATTAGCCCGACTAGTAGGAAGGATACCACGAGGGAAATTGTAAGGTCCGTACCTACCTAGATCACTCCAGCTTCGTCGCAAAATTGCGCGGTTAGGGCGCTAATCCTTACGGGCCTGCAACCATCGACCCCCGTTCCAACGCTTCCCACCCACCGCGAGAGTGGTGAGATCAGCGTGCATTGATGTAGAGATCAGCGTGCTCTCTCAAACGACGTGCTCTCTCGCGTATTTTGTCTTCTTTGACCGCCCTGTCTCGCCATCGTACCACATCCGACCTACTTGAAGGTTAAGGCCTTGGTTTGAACGTTTTCAAAGACTTTTCTTGTTTGCCTTCCCCTATTTCAGGTCGTGTCGTAGCTGAGCTGCTCCAAGGAGCGCTAACAGTGCACAGTGTTGATCGGGGGTTTCCCTATAATACACCTTTTGATAGCTCTATGCAGCGCTCTAAGGGATACAAGTAGGCCCGTACACATAGAAACTATTTCAAAATTTCTTGAGGAGGCTATTGAACGGCGGCATCATTAACTCAATATTTTTTGAAGTGTTGCTCAGGGCCGTATTAGTTACCTTTGATCCCAAATTTGAAAGAGGCAAGTCTCAGTGCACAATGCCATTTATCACTTAAAATCCTAACTTTTGTTCGATCTGTGTGATAAAATGATGTCTAACTGATCAGTCTCCTTGAGATACGCCATTCGGTTGCTGCTCTGCTGGAATCGTGGTAACATTGGAATGGATATCAGAAAATTGCAGGGAGGTATGGTGAACGGCCCGATGTACAACCCTTGGTTTTCGTCCTCTCTCAGACAATATCGGTACAGACTTATATGTGAGAGGGCTGGAGTGACCTGGACGGAGTTTTGTCCAGGACTTAGCTCCCGCTTTGGACTGTCAGAGGAGACTTTCGAGTGAAAGTAATTAGGGCGTCCCTCACCGTCATAATACCTTCGTAAGCTCAAAATGCGCAGCGAAAGGCTAATCGCCTTTCTCTTCCAGAAAGAGACTATTTTTATTAACTTGGCGTCATCGCTCGG